GCCTTTAGTCCCAGCTACTCAGGTGGCTGAGGCAGGAGAATCACTTGAACCTGGGAGATGGAGGTTGCAGTGAGTCAAGATTGTGCCACCGCACTCCAGTCTGGGCAACAGAGCAAGACTCTGTCTCAAAAAAACAAAAACAAACAAACAAACAAACAAACAATTTTCTTTATAAACTACCCAGCCTCAGGTATTCCTTTACAGCAACAGTAAATGGACAGACACAAAAGATGATGAACCTCATCTGTCTTGTTCACTGCTCCACCCTCAGCACGTAGAAACTGTACCTGGCACATAGCACGTGCCCAATTAGTATTTGTCAAGTGGAAAATAGCTTGGACTAGAACGAAGAAGCTTGAGTGAAGCATCTCTAAAGTTTGAAAGGAATGAAACACAAAGAAAAAGAAAGGAAGAAAGGGAAGGAATTCAGTCCACTCTGACATCCTGGGATTTCTTCCTCAGAAGAACTCTCAAATGCTTCTCCCAGGAGAAAGGAAGGCAGGTGAACTCCCAACCCCAAGACAAAGCAAAACAGACTCACTGATCTGCACCACGCAGCTGGCGCCCGACGCTGGCCCGACTATGTGGCTTGTAACACACTTGAACTTCTTGCCATCCGACAGCTGGGACTCGCTCAGCATTTCCACCCCCAGCTTTGACTTGCCCACGATTACACCTCCTGGCTCTTCTATCCACAGGAAGTCAGGGTCAGGGTATCCCCCATCCCAGCGACAGGTGAGCTGCAGCATGAACGATCCTGATGCCATCTGTGCCCAGCACTGGGGAGCTGATGGAGGGGGGTCTACAAAACACCAGAGAAGAGCATGGGCTGAATCACTGACTCTAGGATCAGCCACTTGGCTGACTCTAAGGATGGCAGAACCAGGGTCTCAGAGAGACATCAACCCCCGTTAGTGTCAGTGTCCAATAGCTCCTAGCACAAATTCATGCCTGACAACACTCAGGTTTCCTCTGTTGGGTGTTAAATCTCTGAGGACCTGGGTCTCATTCGCCTTTGTATTTCTTTCTTTCTTT